CATCCATCCATCCATCCATCCATCTGTATGTCCATCTGTCCATCCATGCATGTATGTCCACCCATCCATCTGTACATCATCCATCCATACCTGCACCCAGCCATTTTTATGTCCATCCATCCATCTGTCCCTCTATCCATCCATTCATTATCTTTACCCACTTCTTCCTTTTTGGGTTGTGGGGTGGGGTTCACTGGTGCCCATATCCAGCAGTCACTGTGTGAGACGGTGGTGGTGGTGGTGGGGGGGGGGGCCTTTATGCATTATAAGGTGTGGCCTGGACTGGACTGCCCCACCCAGGTTCCACCCTGGGTTTTGAGTGTTGGCATTGGGCAGTATGGCACAGTTGCAGCTCACTTTTTGGAACCCAGAGACCTGGGGTTCCATTCTGCAGATTTGACGTGAGGAAACTGCTGGCCATTGATTGGCTGGCTGGCCTGGGGAGGGGGGGGAGGGGGATGTCACAAATGAGTCAGCGACTGCTCCTTGCCACCATTTCCTTCAGCTACTTGAAAATAAGTTTGGTTGTTTGATAGATAGAGCTTCTATTATTCTTCAGAAAAAATAACAAAGCAAAAGATAAGGTCTAGGTCAAGGTTTCTTTATTGTCATTTGCACCACATGTGGTACATGTGGTGGAATGAAATTGTGTACACAGGGTCCCAGTTACATCCAACAAAAGTATAAATCAGTGGGGGGAGTGGTGGCGCAGAGGTTAGAGAGGTGGGCCTGTGATCCGAAGATCGCCGGTTCACGCCCCGGCCCCGACAACATCAAAAATTGTGGGTGGGGTAGGTGAAACACCCACACTTGCCCCCACCCTCATTCGCCCCACTCTGGGCCCATGAGCAAGGCCCTTAACCCCCACCATGTGCTCCCTAAACAGGTCTCTCTTGAAAATGAGTTCTCGTGGCTCAATGAGACTAACCTGTATAAATAAAGGCTAAATGAAAAAAAATAAAATAATAAATTGTAAAGAAAAACAGTAATAAGATCTAAGATATGAAGTAAGAAATATGCTAAATTAAAAATACACTAAAGTAAGAATACACTAAGCACAAATAGTACAAAAACAATACGCCAGCACAAACATGAGTCTGTGTGAGCAGATGAGGATGAATGAATACAACTGAACTGAACTGGAGGGCTGTACTCTGATGGGAGGGGATGGCGGCGGAGCGGAGCAAGAAGACGCTGCTGCAGTTGTGGCCCGTCTCTGCTGTGTGTTTGTTCCTTCTGAAGTCCACGACCATCTCTTTCATCTTCTTCACATTGATGTGAAGGTTGTTCTTCCTGCACCAGCTCTCCTGGTGTTCCACCTCCTGCCTGTAGCTGGACTCATTGTTTGTGATGCATCCAACCACCACTGTATCATCTGCAAACTTTACAATGTGACAGCCTGGATGGGTACGTGTGCAGTCATATGTGAGCAGAGTGAACAGAAGGGGGCTCAACACACAGCCCTGAGGGGAGCCAGTGCTGAGGGTTATGGTGGAGGAGGAGAAGTTGTGAATCCTCATAACACGTGTCCTGGACAAACGATGAGGTGCAGTTATTGCTGAGCTGAGATTCATGCGGTCTTGTTGTGACGATCATGCCCACATCGAGGCAGCACTCAGCTGAAAGTACCGGTAAATATAACCAGAGCTGGGCCAAATGTGGCTGGACCAGGCTGGACCAGGCTTTACAATGCATGATCACCTCCGCCCCAACCCTACATCAAGGGTACTAAGATGGACATTGTGGACTGCTACAAGTACCAGGGGGTCCACCTACTGGACTGGACAGCTAACACCAATGCTCTCTACAAGAAAGAGCCAAATTGCCTTTTTCTTCTGAGGAGACTCAGGTCCTTTAATGTCTGCAGGACCATGCTGCAGATGTTTTACACTCGGTGGTCTCCAGCGTCTTCTACGCTGTGGTGTGCTGGGGCCGCAGGGTGAAGAAAGCTGATGCCAACAGACTCGATTAGCTCATCATGAGAGCTGGCTCAGTTCTGGGAGTGGACCTGCAGTCTCTGACAGAGGTGTCTGAGCAGAGGATGATGAGGAAACTGCTCCAGATCCTTGACACCCTGGACTCTTACCACAGCACCTTCAGTCGTAGACTGAGACCATCAAGGTGCTCCACAGAACAACACAGGAAGTCCTTCCTCCCTGTAACTATCAAACTTAACTTAACTCCTCCCCCTTTATGCACATAGGATAATAAAATGAATCCTGCCCTACAATAAACACTTTAATGTTTCTGTCTGAATCTGACCTGTTTGGGTTGTTGGTGTTTTTACATTCTCTGTTATTTTTTAATACCTTGTGTGATTCCTTGTGTATTTTTCTTTGTACTGAAACTCTGGCACAATTTTCTGTGGGATCAATAAAGTTCTTATCTCTTATGAGAGGCATTAGAGACAAACAAGACAAACAGCCATTCTCACTCACACCTAGGGACAGTTAGCCTAAAATGCATGTTTATCACACACTAAGTGGTGACTTCTTCAGCTGAGCCATTAAATGTTTCAACATGTGATAAACAGAGGTATAAAAAAAGATATATATTTGTTTTTCATAAGAAGATTCTACATTTATCCCATAGGCGTCGCAACCAATATATGTGAAGGGAACGTGTGTCCCCCCACATTCAAAACACGTTCATTTGGACCCCCCACTTTTACTATTAGTTCAGTCGATGCTGTTTCCTTCGTGAACTAATCCATTCCACTTGATTAATAGGAGAATATTCAAACCACTAAAACTCCACTCCAGGTTTTCCTGGTTACCTCCAACTCTCCAGCAGCCTGCAGTGTTTCTCCTCTGTGTCTCCTGCCTCAGCAGAGAACGCTCACAGGTGGAAGGTGGGGAGACACCTGTGTTGCTCGCTTTAGTGTTGACCGGGAGGGTTGAAACATATATACACGTTAGGATGCTTGAGAGAAGTGGAGCACTACGTTTGTAGCATCTTAGCTTAGCAGTAACTGTGACACTTAGACGCTGCAGGTGTAAGAGACGCTGTGTTCAGGTTCATTAAAGTTGAAATATCTTTAAAACCCCCCACACCTGATTGTCCTCAAACTTCGTGAGAAACATCATTTAGATGAGTAGTGTTGAACACAAGTAAAAATGTCTAGTGGTGATGTTTTTTATTTTTCTAAACACAAATAGTGTCGACCTGACGCTGTGTGTTAAAGTGCAGTAAAGTGGAAATGTCTTTAAAACTCACAGCTGAATAAACTTGGTGAGAAACATGCTTTAAATGTGTGAAATTAAAGTAAGGACATCTAGGTGAAATGTTGCTTTTTTATCACTAGTGTACACTTTTTTGCACACTAGTGTGTGCGCACACACACACACATCAGTTTCCCCCCCCCACACACACACACACAAATTACAGATGCTTCTGACACCCTTGATTTACCCAGATACGAGTCAAATGACAGAGATTCTGATAACTCGTCAAACACATAGTTGTGACAAATGATGGATAGACTTTTGCTGTTAATAAAAATATATCACAATTTCATTCTTGCAAAGCTCCTGCAAAGCATGTCCTACTTCATGTGGGCATACTGGAAGCCTCCCAATAATATTATGTTTCAAGCTTTAACTAAAATAGCGATAACTTTGTCAATTCTCAATATAATATGATTCTAAAACTCTGGCTTGAAAGGTGGCAGGTCCCTTAAAAGGACGCTAGCACTTAAATATTTGTTCTTGTTTTTTTGTATAGAATACTTTATATTAATCTTAAAAGACTTGTGTTGATAATTGTCACTGTCTCAGTTAATCAGGTCCTCCTTGCGATGCTGGTGCTGCTGCTGTGTTTGCTTCTTCACAGTACACTAAAGAGAGCATCCAGTCGACCCAAACCAGGTGCATCAGTCCAGCTTTAATGCAGCTCTGCTGATTAGATTTCTATTTTATTTACAAGCCTCAGCATAAAGCATTTACAAGATGTTATATTTTAAAATGTGTTGTGAAATTGCAAGCTTCTTCTCTGATAGTTTCAATTTCCAAAATGACCCAAAAGTATCTTAGCATGTGACTTTCTGCCTCGAATCCCTTTCAGATCACAGGAAGAACCATGGCGATGCAGCACAAAGCCCCTCAAGTGGACAGTCAGAGCATGGTAACATCATTCCTATTGTTACCTGTGCATCAGAAGAGCGGATGGGTGCAACCATGGCAACGATCAACAGCATCATTAGCAATACTGATGCCAGTGTTTTCTTTTACATCGTAACCCTTCGTGATGCTGTCAAACTTGCAAGGTTTGTCTCTTGTTTCTACTGTAAACAACAGCAGCTTTTACATGTGCAGTGAAACAAGGTTGGGAGCCCAGGGGTTCCCACAGCTAGAGTTGAGACCCCATGTGGTTCCCACAGTTAGGGTTGGGACCCCAGAGGTTCCCAGACCACAGGGGTTTCCACAGTTAGAGTTGAGACCCCTGTGGTTCCCACAGTTAGAGTTGAGACTCCAGGGGTTCCCACAGTTAGGGTTGGAATCCCAGGGGTTCCCACAGTTAGGGTTGGGACCTCAGGGGTTCCCAGACCCCAGGGGTTTCCACAGTTAGAGTTGAGACTCCAGGGGTTCCCACAGCTAGAGTTGGAATCCCAGGGGTTCCCACAGCTAGAGTTGGAATCCCAGGGGTTCCCACAGTTAGGGTTGGAATCCCAGAGGTTCCCAGACTCCAGGGGTTCCCACAGTTAGGGTTGGAATCCCAGGGGTTCCCACAGTTAGGGTTGGGACCCCAGAGGTTCCCAGAGCCCAGGGGTTTCCACAGTTAGAGTTGAGACTCCAGGGGTTCCCACAGCTAGAGTTGGAATCCCAGGGGTTCCCACAGTTAGGGTTGGGACCTCAGAGGTTCCCACAGTTAAGAGTTGAGACTCCAGGGGTTCCCACAGTTAGGGTTGAGACCCCGACTGTGGGTCACAAATTATTAGATTTTGGGTCCTGAAGTGAGCTCAGAAATGAAATAGAATTAAAATATATTTCCTACTAACATTTTTTAATTCAGAAGGAGCTAAATACTAGCTACAAGCTAAAAGTTGCAAAAGATTAGCAAAAAACTAAAAGTACCAACATGTTAGCTACAATATAAAATAAGCAAAATGCTGATTAAAAGCAACAAAAGTTTGTTAAAAGTAGCAAGCATCTAGCTAAATGTAGCTAAAAGCTAAATGTACCAAAACACTTGTTAGAAGGTAAAAGTAGCAACAACGCCCCCACATCCCTCAACAGCCTGAAAGCTAAAATAGTTTGAGCTTAAAAGTGTAAAAGCCTAGCTTAAAATTAAAAGAAGCAGAGCAATGGGTAAAAGCTACAAGTATCAAAATATTAACTAAAAAAAGCAAAAGCAGATTGGAAGATAAAAACTAAAAATGGCAAAAGGCTAGCTAAAAATTTAAAATAGCCTAATAGACAAACTGAGCAAAGCTGAAGCAGATTTTTTTTTAATGACATTTGTGAAACAAGATTGTTTTTATGGGAAAAATTAAAGTTAAATGTTGTGAAAAATTTAGAAGTTATAAAAACAAAAGTTGTAGCACCCATCATCTGAACTAAACATTCTGATGAACAAAAGGCTAAATTAGCACAAAGTATATAGAAATACAATGCAAAAAAAAAAAGCACATAAAAAACTAAAAGGAAAACAATATTGTGAATGTGCACTCACAATAACAGCAACAGTCATACACAGAGAAAATACATATTTAAGTATATTCTATGTGTTTTCGTTATGTCCTTTTTTAACTCTTGTAGCAGTGTTTGTGTACATTTACCAAATATATTTGGAATTCCTAGTCTTTGACATTATTTGGGGGGTCAGAAGCTATAACGTTTGAGAGCCACTGCAATAAATGATGACTTAAAGCCTAAAGGCATACTGCCTTTCATGAATAATCCTCATTCATAATTATTTTGTATTTGTCCAGAAGGTACATAGAGAGAAGCAAACTTAAAGGTATTCAGTATAAAATTTTGGAGTTTAACTCGATGGTTCTACAAGGAAAGGTGAAACCAGATTCTTCCCGTCCCGAACTCCTACATCCAGTAAGTTTTGGATTTGTTTGGCAAAAAATACTGTATATGCATGTGCAGCACTACGCTGCTGTCTACAGAGTTGTTATTTCAGAAAAGTGGACTAACTAGTTGTGTTTTGCAGCTCAACTTTGTACGTTTTTACCTTCCTTTGCTGGGCATCAGCCACGAGAGAGTGGTATACTTAGACGACGATATCATTGTCCAAGGTACGTATCTGAACAATATAGCTGAGAGCTTTTCATTTTAATATTATTTTATTTTACAGTAGTCCCTCATTACTTCGCAGTTCATTTATCGCGGACTCACTGTATCGCAGTTTTTCAAAATAAGATTAGACATGACACACAATTGGCTGATTGATGAATGAGCCTCACGATCGGCATGGAATTTTTATTTAAAATAAATTATTTTAAATTATTTAGCACCTGCTGCACATTTGTTCAGCCAAGAGCTGCAGAAGAAGCTTCCTCCTGCACCTTTGTGCAGCTCTTACTGCAGAATAAACTTCTTGCTGCAGCTGATCAGTTGTTCTCCGCCGACCTGAGAAGTGGGCGTGGCCAAGACCACTTGCAGGTGGCAAAGAGCAGACAAGGCAGGGAGCTGAAATCATGATATTCTGTGTCTTTTACAGCTTTAGTTTTGAAACATTGTTTAGAATATTGCAAGAATGTGTGAAGTGTTTAAAACGCCTTTATATATATATATGTGTGTATCCATCCATTATCTTTACACACTTCTTCCTTTTTGGATCACGGGGTTCACTGGTGTTCACTGGTGTTCACTGGTGTTCATATCCAGCAGTCACTGTACAAGAGAAAGGGGACACCCTGGACAGGTCACCAGTTCATCATAGGGACACATAGAGACAAACGAGACAAATAAACATTCACTATCTCACTTTCACCTACAGACAATTTAAATGGAAAATGGACTGTACTTATAGAGCGCCTTTCTATCTTATTTCAAGATACTCAAAGCGCTTTACACTACAATCTGTGTCCTCATTTACCCATTCATACAGCACTCTACTAGATCTCTACAAAGCTAATTGAACAATTCATTCTAAAGAGACTAATCAGTGCTTTTTTAGATCACATTCATACACTGATGGGACACACATCAGAGGCTATGAGGGGTTCAGTGTCTTGCCCAGGGACACTTCGACATGTGACTGCTGGTGGATTCGAACCCCCAACTCTTGCATTGGAGGACGACTGCTCTAACCACTCAGCCTCAGCCGTGGCTGAGTGTAATTGTACACTACATTACAAATTACAAATTGTAATTTGTAATTTTGAGTTACAAATCAGTCTAACATGCATGTTTTTGGTCTGTGGGAGGAAAACAGAATACCTGGAGAAAACCCACGCATGCACAGCGTGAACATGCAAACTTGTTACCCAAAAAGGTCCCCGGCTGAGATTTGATCCAGCTACCTGCTCGGTGAGAGGCGGCAGCTATACCTACTGCGCCACTGTGCCGCGGCAGCTATACCAACTGCACCACCGTGCCACCCATATCATACATTTTATCTAAAAATGCAGTCATTTATCCCATCATGTAACATACTGGAATCACAGCTGGTTGTCTGATCAGGTGCAAAGAGAGGAGGATTGCTACTGTAAACACAGAGGCAACAAATAAAAAAACTTGAACCTTTATAAAATCCCGGTTTTGGTTTCAGGAGGGCATGGTATTTCACAAAATTTATGACAGGGCCTGATTAATGTTGGTGAAAAATAAAATTATTGTATCTATGGTTGGGTACAGATCCAGAGCTGCAACTCAGAGATCCCTCTCCCCAGTGATACTCTTCAGCTCCTCCTGGGGAATTTCAAGTTGTTTCCAGGCCAGAGATGGTAAAATGGTAAATGGTAAATGGAGCTTACTTCTATAGCGCCTTCCAGCCCCCTATGAGGGGCCCCAAGGCGCTTTACAGTACCAGCCATCCACCCATTCACACGCACATTCATACACCGGTGGCGGTAGGCTGCCATGCAAGGCGCCATCCAGTCCCACCGGGAGCAACTCGGGGTTAAGTGTCTTGCCCAGGGACACAACGGCACATGGTGTGGGAAGTCGGGATTCGAACCTCCAACCTTCCGATCAGAGGTCGGCTGCCACTACCACTGCACCACGGCCGCCCAATAATATAATATATATGTAATTCCTCCAGCAAGTTCTAGGTGTGCCCCAGAGTCTCTTCCCATTGGGACACGCCCGGAAAATCTCTACAGGGAAGCAGTTAAGAGGGATTCTAGTCAGATGTCTGAACCACCTCAACTGACTCCTTTTGATGCAAAGGAGCAGCAGCTCTACTCTAAATTCTCTGCAGATGATGGGGCTCCTCACCCTATCTCTAAGGCTGAGCCCTAGAGTTAGTTTATGCCACCAGAAATTGGCACGGCCAAGGATCCTTCCTTGCCTGCCACCTTGCTTGCAGATCACCCAACCTCAGAGCCTATTCCAGAAGCTTAATAGGAGCTGGCTTTATTCAGTCAGAAACCAGTTCTTGTGTGTGATTTGGATCATTGTCTTGTTTGAACATCCAGCTGTGTCCACGTTTCAACCATCTACCTGCTGATTTAAGGTAAAGTTAAATAATTTTGAGGTAGTCCTCTTTTAATATTCCTAACACTTATTGAAATGCACCAGTATACCATGAGGCTACCATTATGATGTTTGTGATTTGGCACAGTGTTCTGAGGTTTGAATGCCTCACCTTGAATTCTCCAAACATATGTTTGGTCAATGTGGCCAAGTAGCTCAGTCTTTGTCTCACCTCACCACCATCAGAAGAGTTCCTCAGCGTGACCTCAGCAGAAGTAAAGAGGACCTTCAGGAGAATTAATCTTCACAAAGCAACTGGCCCAGACAACATCCCAGAGAGGGTGCTGAAAGACTGTGCCGATCAGCTCTGCGGGGTGCTGGCCAATATCTTTAACTTCTCCCTCACCCTAGCAACTGTTCCCACCTGCCTGAAGACCGCCACCATCATCCCAGTTCCTAAGAGCTCTGCAGTGACCGGTCTGAATGACTCCTGACCAGTAGCTCTCACCCCAATAGACACTAACTGCTTTGAAAGACTGGTCAAAACCCACTCAAAGCTACCATCAACATTAGCAAGGACCCACACCAGTATGCATACCGCAAGAATCGATCAACAGAGGACGCCATCTCCTCTGTGGTCCACACTGTTCTCATCAAGCTGGATCAGAAGGATTCCTAAATCCTTATGTTCTTTGTGGAATTCACATCTGCCTTCAACACCATGATTCCTCAAACCCTGATGGACAAACTACTAGGACTAAGCCCCACCATTTGCAACTGGGTCCTGGACTTCTTAATCAACAGACCACAGTCTTTGAGGATCCACAACTTCTCCTCCACCAGAACCCTCAGCACTGGCTCCCCTCAGGGCTGTGTGTTGAGCACCCCCTCCCCCAGTTCACTCTGGTCACTTATGTCTGTGCGCCTACCCATTCAAGCTGTCACATTGTAAAGTTTGCAGATGATACAGCAGTGGCAGGATGCATCACAAACAATGATAAGGCTGGCTACAGGCAGTATGTAGAACACCTGGAGAGCTGGTGCAGGAAGAACAACCTTCACATCAATGTGAAGAAGACAAAGGAAATGGTCATGAACTTCAGACAGAGCAACCCCATCCTGAACATAAATGGTAAATGCACTGTACTTATATAGCGCCTTTTTATCTTATTTCAAGATACTCAAAGCTCTTTACACCACAATCTGTGTCCTCATTTACCCATTCATACATCACTCTGCTAGATCTCTACAAGCTAATTGAACAAATCATTCTAAAGAGACTAATCAGAGCTTTATCAAATTCAAACACCGATGGGACACAAATCAGAGGCTATGAGGGGTTCAGTGTCTTGCCCAGGGACACTTCGGCATGTGACTGCTGGTGGATTCAAACCCCCAACTCTCGCATTGGAGGACGACTGCTCTTACCACTCAGCCACAGCTGCCCTTAGGAGGATCTGCGGTGGAAGTGGTCTCCAGTTACAAGTCACAAGTCACAAGTACTTGGTTGTGCACCTGAATGATAACCTCAGCTGGAGCAACAACACTACCATTCTGATCAAGAAAGCTCATCAGGCTCTACTTCCTCAGACGGCTGAGGCGAGCTGGTCTGGGAAGCTCATTCCTCACCTCCTTCTACAGGTGTGCAGTGGAGAGCATCCTGTGCTCCAGCATCAATGTGTGGCATGGAGGCTGCACAACTGCAGAAAGAAAAGCTTTGCAGAAAGTGGTGAAGGCTGCACAGAAGACTGTTGGAGTCTGCCTCCCCACTATAATAGACATCTAGATGCAGGAAGAAGGCCACCTGCATCCTGAAGGACCCCACTCACCCAGCACACACACATTTTGCCCTGCTCCCCTCAAGCAGAAGGTTGTGGAGCATTAAGTGTAGAACCACTAGACTGAAGAACAGCTTATACCCTGAAGCTGTTAGACTCATAAATCCCTAACCAGAATAATCACTGTGAAAAAAAATCACTGTAATGCCATTTTAATTGGTAATATTTTACTTATCTGAACTGCTGATTATCCATGCTGCTGATCTCATGCTGCTGCTGATCTCATGCTGCTGCATTCATTTGTACCGATCCACTTACCACAGTCTCATGTTCAGGCTGCTGTTGTTACGCCATATAGTTTTGCATTAGTAGTGTTTAGCATAAATCTAGATCTTTTGGTGTGCCTTTTGGCATTCGTTTAACATATATCTTAGATCCTTATTTACAGTTTTTCACACTTTATATTTTTGCTATTGTTGGGTGTAACTGGGACCCTGTGTACATACATTTGTTCCACCTCCTGTACCACATGTGATGAGAATGACAATAAACCTACTTGAACTTGAACTTGTCTTGTCTGTCCATCAAATCTTTTTACAGAAGACATTGGTCCATGTAGATGGCTGAAGATTTCAGTTCACACAGAATGTGAGAATTTTGGGACAGGAGGTTCTTTATTTTACTTTTTTACACGCAATCTTTCTCCCTTTGAAGTTTTTGTAATTTGTTTTGCAAATAGTGACATCTAGAACACAGATCTTGTTATAGTTTATCTCTTCTAACTCTAAAAAGGTTGAGTCAGGTCCTCTGAACAGATTCTTTTTGTTGAAGCATTTTATCTTTTATCCAAAATACTTTTTCAGGCTGAGGAGCTGCAACAAACTCAGTCTTATAAATAGCACCTTCTCGTAGTGAATCATCCTGTTTGCTAGAGACATCCAGAACTAGATGTTCACCTGATAAAGGAGGACCATCAGCCTAATGACTGATTGTTAGTGCTATGATGGCTGCTTGCTATTCACAGAGGGCTGAGTAATATTAGCATTCTACCTGGATTATTGAGCACGCATCAGGATATATCTTCTAACATTTTACAAGGGCAGTAGTGGTACAGTAGTGGTACTGCTCTACTGAGGAGCAAGGAGATTGCACAATTTGTGTGCAGCAAGGAGACAGTGTGGAGACGCATGCGGTTCTCCGTGGCTGTGCTGTCCAACAGGAAATACACCTTGGCTGACAGCTTAGGGGCACGCTTCCTTGTGACAAACTTGTAGATGCCAAACTGTGTTTACTGTTTCAGTCTGTATAATGTTATGTCTGTCCAAGGTAAGGGGAGTAGAAATCTGTACAGGGAAGGATCAAAGTTCATGCTCAATAATCCAGGCAAAAAATCCAACACTGATGAGGCAGGTCCTCTGGACAGTTTCTTTTTGTTGAAATGTTTCGTTTCTCGTCCAAGAGATTTCTTTAGTCCGAGGAGCCACAACAAACTCAGTCTTTTAAGTAGCACACTCACATAGTGGGCCAACCAGTTTGATGGTGATACGATGGTTCTGGAATCCGCCCTATCCACCACCAACTCATCTGAGGAAGCCATAGCCAAAGTGGTTCAAAACATCAAAGTTCATGCTCAGTAATCCAGATTAAAAAATCCTACCAAATTATGTCAGGCCCTCTGGACTTGACTTACCTGACCTGATCTCTGTACAGAGAAGGAGTTTTGGATTATGGACTGTCTATGATGAAATGAACTTCTCACGACTATGTTAACAAAAGTAGACCTCTTCACTTCTGACGAAGTATGAATCCAGCTTAAGTTGGTGTATATCATACATTTTCATTCTTTTCAGGTGACATTAAGAATTTGTATAACATAAAACTGAAAGCGGGACATGCTGCTGCTTTTGCTACCGACTGTGACCTGCCTGCCACACATGAGATGGTTCGAAGCATCGGCATGCAGGTGAATTTCTATGACTTTCTATGATTTCTATGACTGGCACTGTTTGCCAGCTTGACAGTGAAAAAATAACTTTAGATAAGCAATTATGATAACTAAATATATTTGTCCTCTGAGCTTATTCTTTAGACAACTTACATGGGCTTCCTGGACTACAGGAAACAAGAAGTCAAAGACCTGGGCATCAACCCCAACGACTGCTCTTTCAACCCTGGAGTGTTTGTAGCAGATGTCAAAGAATGGAAGAAACAAAAGGTCACCAAACAGCTCGAGAAATGGATGGAGGAGAATGTCAGGTATAGTCAGTGAGAAAACAGCAAAACCTTTTGTACTTTGCTAAAATTTTTCAGAGGACATTTTCTGAGATGTTTATCATGTCTCAGAAATGAAATTTCTCTGAAAGGAACTTTACAAGGACAGGGACAATCCTTATTCAGTGTTTTACTTAGAAAACCATGTTCACTTGCTTGAGTCTGTGGTACAGTTAAGGCTGCAAGCTTCCAAACAAGAAGGATATTTTTTAGAATGGCTTGTGATAACATTAGGTTATACAAAGCCAGTGAAGCAAGGCATCCATCCATTATCTGTTACTCGCTTCTTCCTTTTCGGGTTACAGAAGTCACTGGTGCCCATATCCAGCCATCACTGTGCGAGAGACATTGTACACCCTGGATAGGTCGCAAGTCCATTACAGGGACACATAGAGAAAAATGAGACAAACAACCATTCACTCTCTCACTCACTCACACCTAGGGACAATTTAGAGTTATCAATTAGCCTAACATGCATGTTTCTGGTCTGTGGGAGGAAATCGGAGTACCCAGAGAAAACCCATGCAGCATGGAGAAAGCATGGAAACTTCACCCAGAAAGGCCCTGGCTGAGATTTGATCCAGCAACCTTCTCACTGAGAGGCGGCAGATCTACCATCTGTATCACTGTGCCGCCCTGATGCAAGGCAATCATCATAAAACATGGACAAATTTAAGGCTTGCATTCCTTCAAGGAATGCATATCACCTGCTGCCCTTCATGTAGAGTTTTATCCTATGATCATCTTATGAAAGAGAACAGAGTTGTAGAAGCCAATTTAGTCAAATCTAAAAAAAAAAAAAACTTTATGTGCAATCTAATGCAGGATATCACGTTCTGGGTATGTGCTGTGAATAACCCTTTACTACCAAACCCTATTTTACTTCAATATCTGTAACATTGAATGAGTTATAGCAATTTTTATTGGCTAATGTTGATTAGCTCTGTCAGCCATTGTTGTAGATGCACAACAAACAATTAGTTTATGATACTTTCATTAAAATCTATCCTGTAGTACCCTTAGAGGCCAGTGGTGTGGCAACTGTGTATCAGTCCACAAGAAGTTGAGTAAACATTTGGACTTACTAGATGCACTGATCAGGCATACTGATACATTCAGTAGCCTCAGCACTGTCAGCATAATGGTCTATGCTCATCACACATATACCCCTGTATTCCTAGTAATGTTTAGTTGAGAATATAGCACCAAACTAAACAAACAGTGCCATGCAAAAGTGTAGAAGTTTGAAATTAGCTAGTGTTCTTTCTCACCAGTATGTTGTTTTTAGGACATAATTGTTTTATGAGGGGAGTGGTGGCACATATCACAGATTAGAGAAGGTAGGCCTGTGATCGGAAGGTCATTGGTTCAACTCCCTGTATTGACAACATCAAAATGTGGATGGAAAAGGTGAAACACCCACACCTGACTCCACCTTCATTTGCCCCACTCTGGGCCCTTGAGCAAGGCCCTTCAACCCTCCCACCACCACCATCTGCTCCCCCGGGTGCCCTAAATGGCAGCTCTCTGCTCCACACAGAGGGCTGTGGTAACGCGGTGGTCTGTGGTTGCGTCAGGAAGTACAACTGGCATAAAAACAATTAGCCAAGTTTGTGCGACTAAGCTATGGCTATCCCTGAAGAAGGGACCAGCTAAAAAAAAAAACCAACAACAACTTGTTTTATATGTCTAAAAATGATTTTAAATATGGGCCCTCATTTGGCTAGCTTATCTTGGAGAAAGACTTCTACTCTTTTCTCTATTTCCTGCATTCCATGACTTTTGTCATGGCTGATAAGAAATAAACTATTAACAAACTATTTGACAGAGCATCACTTCAAAAATAAAGACATCTTGGCTTCTAATGTTTTGCTAGCCCATCAGTCCACAGACGTCATCACTTAAGAGTTTGTAGTTTCATAAAATTGGTGCTTTTAGTTTTGGCGCTTCCTTGTGCCTCATAGTCTGATCCAAAAACCTTTCTCCTCTCCAACAGGAAGAACATTTACAGCAGTGCCATGGCTGGAGGTGTGGCGACTCCACCTATGCTTATAGTTTTTCATGACAAATACACAACACTGAACCCTCTGTGGCACGTCAGACACCTGGGTAAGGTCTAGTTGTAGTAAAAAGTAAAGTTACTCACTATAATTCAAAGACTGTTAAGCAGAAAACATTTAAGAAATGCTCTGTGTCTTTGTAGAACTAGAGAAAGGTTAGAACTGTGGTACTGTATAAGAATATGAGGTGTGGTTGTAGGATCCTAGTGTTTTTCCTCCTGCAGATTCCTAAGTGACTGGGCAGTGCCAATGGGCAGCAGCTGTGGCCTACTCCAGTGATGAGCTCCAGAAGTATAAAAGACAGTTCACTTTGCCAGAACATTAGATACTATCTAGTATTGTGACAGATGCTTGTGTTTTCTTAAGCTAAAGATTTATTCTTACCAGTTTTCCACCGTGTTCTCCTAGTTCCTGTTTCATGAGGTCTGATCCTGGACTTAACTGTTTTCCATCGTGCCTCCAAGTTGAGCTTAAACCCTGGAACTCCTGATGCCACTTGCCTTCTGTAGAAGACCATCCTGCTTATCATCTGCCTGTCACCTGCCTTCAACTTGTCTGCCTGCAATCCACTATGGTAATTGCCACTACTTACCACATCACATCCATCTCTCCCACTATACATACCTGGAGTACTTCACCTTCCTCTCAGTGCCATCGGACCTTAAGGAACTTGTAAGAAGAATATTATCCTTACTAACTTCACCACAACATTATCTGAGAACTATACTTACCCGTCTCCCCCCTTTGCATATCTTCCCAGTGCCTCCTGTAAATGCTTCATTTTAAAAATAAAAACATCACTTACCTTTATTCTGAGTTGTTTGAGTCTGATGGTCTCAGTTCCAGTGGTGTTTCACTTCTGGTTCCCAATCTGTAACAGAGATTCAACCTTCCCAAGCTCACTCACCTGAACCCGAACCGGAGCCTACAGAATGCAGGTCAGACACACTTGTCTTACCCCTGACGAAAGACAAGGAAGAATAAATGCAAGGGAGTGCATATACTACAGTAATTGCAGATATTTCATTGCTCACTGCCTGGTTGACATAAAAGACTATTCTCATAAATAGGTCAGAAGATATTGGTGGGAAGTTCTTCTTTTTCTCCTGGCTCATGTTTAGTTTATTTACTACCATCATGATTAACCAAATCACATTACCCACCTCAGCTCTTGTGACTGAGAAAGAACAAAATCTAATCAGTAGTGACTTGGTAGACAATCTACAAAATTCCCATTCAGACTCTCAACCCTCCTCTATCTGTGGCTGGCCTCACTGAACAGAGCCTCGCCAAGATCCACCACAGGACCCATGGACTCTATCATCTCCAGTAATCATCACAAGGAGGGTGAGGTTTATTAAATATTTGACTCACACATACTACTGCTCATTTTAATGTTTCCATGGTTAAAGAAGCACAACCCCATTCTCAATTGGTCCGAAAGGAGAGTGGGCAAAGAGAGTAAATTTTGCTTAGAGAACTGCTGAATGTTCAGCCATTACTGTTCCTACTAAGAGGAAAGATCCCCCTGATGAGATAGATTTATCTAAGGTACCCTCAACGTATCATGATCTTACTCCTGTCTTCAGCAAACAGAAGGTGCTCTCTGCACCATCCATTTGACTGTTCCATCAATCTCTTTCCATGTGCCTCTCTACCAACCAGCAGGTTGTATAACCTTTCAGGCCCTGAAAAGGAAACAATGAGAAATCTCATGGGGGCAGGATTTTTTTTTTTGTGGCCAAGAAAGACAGAACCTCGAGACCTTGTATTGACTATGGAGGCTTAAACCAGATCAATGTAAAAAATAAATACAAAAGTCTACAACTCACTGATTCTCTTCATGAACAGCTTGCCACCATTTGTTTTAAAACTGGATCTCTGTAATGTCTATCATTTGGTGAGAATTAGGGAGGGGGACAAGTTGAAAAGGGCTTTCGGAACACCACTCGGCCAGAACAAGTTTTCAAAAAGTTATGCCTTTAGGCCTCACTAATGCCCCACAGTTTTCCAAGCTCCAGTAAATGACGTACTTCATGACTTTTCAAACATTTTTGTATTTGTCTACCTTGATGACGTTCTAATTTACCGGTATTCCAAGGATTTCCAACAACATACTCACCATGTCAGAGCAATCCTTCATAGTCTCCATGAAAACCAGTTGTTCGTCAAGACCAACAAGTGTGAGTTTCACATCACATGTTTCATTTCTTGGGTTTATTTGTGAAAAGGGACAAGTCCAGACTGACCCCCAAAAGGGGAAGGCAGTTGTAGGGTGTCCAGTTCCTGAGGATTGCAGGCAGCTGCAGCGCTTCCTGGATTTACCAACGTCTACAGGAGGTTCATCAAGAACTATAGTACCAAAGTTCATACTCAATAATCCAAGTAAAAATCCAACAATGTTCAGTCAGGTCATCTAGATGGTTTCTATCTTTTTTTTGTTTTGTTGTTGAGTTGTTTCATCCTCCATCCAAAGGACTTCTTCATTCTGAGGAGCCCACCAAACAAACTGATTCCATCCATCCATCCATCCATCCATCCATCCATCCATCCATCCATCCATCCATCCATCCATCCATCCATCCATCCATCCATCCATCCATTATCTTCCGCTTGGTCCAAAGTCGGGTCGCGGGGGCAGCAGCTTGAGCAGGGAAGCCCAGACATCTCTTTCCACAGCACCTCTTTCAGTTCTTCTGGGAGGATTTCAAGACGTTCCCAGGCCACCCAAGAGACACAGTCTCTCCAGCTTGTCCTGGGTCTTCCCCGGGGTCTCCTCCCAGTCGGACATGCCCGAAGCACCTCCATAGGGAGGCGTCCAGGGGGCATCCTTATCAGATGCCCAAACCACCTCAACTGGCTCCTCTCAATGTGGAGGAGCAGCGGTTTGTTAAAGACAGGAGCTGGCTGCAGGTCACTGGACCCGGAAACCCCCTCCAGCCCACGTCTTTTCCCCCGGCTCGAACCTCCCTCAGGAGTGGCAACTCTCATTATCAATAAATCAAGGAAATGTATATTAAGTTTTATCAATTATATTTAAAAAGGAAGGAAAAGGTTACAATTTACAGCGCTAGACTCTCCCATCTGTGACGCGTTCACAAACCCGGAAGAACAGCCCCGATGTCCCGTGTCATTACTCATTTATAGGGTCCTAGACTACTCCTTCGCAGTTAGGAAATATGAGACGGTGCTTCAAAAGCCTTTCTATGTGATGTGGCAAGCATATTAAACTCTATTCCTTGACTGATATTGAAATCCCAGGGAGACTGGCTTTAGAGTTGCTGGCCCACTTTAACCCAGTCAGAACCGGGTCATAATTTCATTATAATCCCGTCTCTGAGCAGATCCAAACCATAGGACCAGTCCAAAAATATCTTAACAGGTTATACTCCGAGTCTCTCCCGGATAACCGAACTTCTCACCCTATCTCTAAGAGAGAGTCCAGCTACCCTGCGGAGGAAACTCATTTCAACTGCCTGTATCCGCGATCTTGTTCTTTCGGTCACTACCCAGAGCATGTGATCATAGGTGAGGGTAGGAACATAGACCGACCAGTAAACAGAGAGTTTTGCCTTACAGCTCAGCTCTCTCTTCACCACAACGAACCAGTACAGAGTCCACAATACTGCAGATGCTGCACCAATCCATCTGTCAATCTCAAACTCCATTTTTCCCTCACTCGTGAACTAAACCCCAAGATACTTGAACTCCTCCACTTGAGGCAGAACCTCACCCTCGATCTGGAGAGAACAATCCACCCTTTTCCGGTTGAGGACCATGGCCTCAGATTTGGAGGTGCTGATTCTCACCCCAGCCGCTTTACACTCAGCTGCAAACCGCTCCAGTGAGAGCTGAAGATCACGGCGCGATGATGCCAACAGGACCACATCATCTGCAAAGAGCAGAGTTAGAATCCTGAGGTCACCGAACCAAAAACTCTCTGCCCACTGGCTACACCGAGAAATTCTGTCCATGAAAGTTATGAACAAAATTGGTGACAACGGGCAGCCCTGTCGGAGTCCAACTCCCACCCTGAAGGGGTCCGACTTACTGCCAGCAATGCGAACCAAGCTCTCGCACCGCTTGTATAGGGACTGAACAGCCCGTAGCAAGGGGCCCCCAATCCCATACTCACAGAGCACCCCCCACAGTGTACCCCGAGGAACACGGTTTAATGCCTTCTCCTAATCCACAAAACACATGTAGACAGGATGGGCAAACTCCCATGACCTCTCAAGGACCCTAGTGAGGGTAAAGAGCTGATCCAGTGTTCACGGATAGGATGGAACCCACATTGTTCCTCCTGGATCCGAGGTTCGACCAACGATCTGACTCACTTCTCCAGTACCCCTGAATAGACCTTACCAGGGAGGCTGAGGAGAGTGATGCCCCTATAATTGGAGCACACCCTCCGGTCCTCTTTTTTGAAGAGGGGAACCACCACCCCAGTCTGCCAATCCAGTGGCACTGCCCCCGATGTCCACGCAACATTGCAAAGGCATGTCAACCAAGACAGCCCCACAACATCCAGAACCTTAAGGAAATCAGGGTGAATCGCATCCACTCCCAGAGCCCTGCCGCCTCTGAACTTTTTAACTACCTCGGCAACCTCAGCCCCAGTTATGGATAGATCAACCCCAAAGTCCCCCGACTCAGCTTCCTCCATGGAAGACATGCTGGTGGGATTGAGAAGGTCCGAGAAATATTCCTTCCGCCTCCCGACGACATCATTGATTCAGGTCAACAGCAGCCCACCTTCACTGAATATAGTGTTAGTAGAGTGCTGCTTTCCCCTCCTCAGCCGTCTGATGGTTTGCCAGAATCTCCTTGGAACCAACTGAGAATTGTTATTCAAGGTCTCACCGAACTCCTCCCACATTCGAGCTTTTGCCTCAGAAACAGCCAAGGCTATGGACCGCTTGGCCCTCTGGTACTCCTCAGCTGCCTCCGAAGTACCACTGGCTAACAAGGCCCAATAGGACTCCTTCTTCAGCTTGACAGCCTCCCTAACCCGGATGTCCACTACCGAGTTCATGGATGGCTACCACG